AAGCTTGTTAGAGGAGTAGGCACAGCCTGGAAGAGAGGCCAGAGAGCCCATGGGCCCGCTTAGTCTCAATCACACTGCCTCCTTCCAGCTCCTCAGTGTGCTGGTCCTTGCCCCCTATGGCTTTGCTGCCACTAAAACATGAGCTCCAGGAAGGCAGGTCCTTGCCTCGTTATCAGTGGACACCTGGCTCATAGCGAGTCCCTGGCCCATAGCAAGCCCTACCCCTGTAAGTTTTGAGTGAATGAACAGATGAGCACATCTTGCAGCCATTCCTTGGCAGGTGTGGGGGTGACATCTGGAAAGAGTCCTGAACTGGAGCCTAAGCCCCTCCTGAGGAGCTGAGGGAGGTTGCGTTCCTCCCATTCCAGGGAATGCAGAGGCACATTCCTGTCCTTGAGTCTGATCAGGCTCCTGCCACGAGGCTCAGTCTGACTGCTAGGCCTGGGAAGACCCCCTGGAGCTGCCCCTCAGGTCTCGCTCTCCATGGGACCACAGGTCACTCCACAGCTGCAGCAGCACCCGCTCTCTGTTGACTGAGGCTAGCAGTGGGAAGCCAGGACCACTAAGTGCATCTGAAGCCGTCCAGACACTCCCAACCTCTGGTGATCAATGAAAACGTTCACATCCTGCTTCCAGGGCTAAAGCCAGGAATTTGGAAAATTGGTGGAAAACACTTCTGTGAGCTGGGGCTTGCTCCACTGTGGAAAACTGCCGGCATAAGCACTACTCTGAAGGCTGTGCTGAGTCAGCTAGTCGGCCCACTCTGGAGCTGCCTCCAGGAACCAGGTGCCTATGGGGCCCAGCAAGGAGCTCAGAGGCCAGGGCTGAAGGGGTGAGAGCAGGTGACACGGGTATTTACCCAGTGCCCCCACGTGCTGGGCTCCAGGAATTTCAGACTGAGTTCTTGCCTCAGGAGGCTCTCAGTAGTGAGGAAGATAGACATGGGCAAATGAACACACAGCTAAGTGTGGAATCACTGCAGTGTGCCCTGGGGAAGCACAAGCTAGCTGCAAGAGCCAGACAGTAAATAGTTCAGGCTTTACAGGCCACAGGGCCTTTGTTCTACCTGCTCACCTATGCCACAGTAGTGTAAAAAAAGCCACAGACAATAAGTCAACAGATGGGATGGCTGTGATCCGGCCCACATTGTCAGTCCCTGGTGTTACAGGGCCTGACCTGGTCTGAGGATGATGGTGAGGGAACAGCTTCCTTGAGGCAGTGATATTAAACTAAAACTTGCAGGCTTATTCAGTGACAGAGGCAGAACCAAGTCATAGACAACAATTGCACTAATCATATCACTGTGATAATGTAACACTTGGCAACTTGTTTTTGTTTTGTTTTTTTGAGTTAGAGTCTCACTCCATCGCCCAGACTGGAGTGCAGTGGCCGCTCCCGGCCACCTCGACCTGCTGGGCTCCAACGATCCTTCCACCTCAGCCTTCCAAGTAGCTGGAACTACAGGTGTGCGCTACCACGCCCGGCTAATTTTCGATTTATTGTAGAGATGAGGTCTCACCAAGTTGCCCAGGCAGGTCTTGAACCTGCGGGCTCAGGCAATCCACTCACCTCAGCCTCCCAAAGCGTGGGATTACAGGCTGAGCCACCTTGTAACTGTATTCTGTGTGGGGCACCTGTGTTAACAACAAAACGCTCTGACAACCGTCTGAGATAACTGTATATTGTGCCCATGTTACAGATGGAGAAATTGGGGCTTGGCAGTGTGCTGGGTGTTCTGTTTGCCAACTCAGATGCATCCTTGGCCCTGCTCCACTCCCCAGGGAGGGAAGGCTGACTCCTGAGACACATCTCCTGCATCCTGCCCCAGCTTCCTGTTGGATTAGGCCAATAGAAGGCTCTGGCAGCAGCCTGGGGACTGGAGGAGAAAGAGCAAGTTCAGTTATTTCTCTCTCCCTCCCTCCCTGCTTCACCTGCCCACCCACAGCTCCTGACAAGCTGACCATCCTCCTGGGGTTGCTTTTTCTTTTCTTTTTTTTTTTGAGTTAGAGTCTCACTCTGTCGTCCAGACTGGAGTGCAGTGGCCACTCCTGGCCACCGCAGCCTCGACCTGCTGGGCTCCAGCGATCCTTCTGCCTCAGCCCTCCGAGTAGCCAGAATTACAGGCGCGTGCTACCACGCCCGGCTAATTTTTTTATTTTATTGTAGAGATAAGGTCTCGCCTGCCCAGGCGGGTCTCGAACCCATGGGCTCAGGCAATCCACTCACCTCAGCCTCCCAAAGGCACAGGATTACAGGCTGAGACACCAAGCCTGGCTCGCTTTTTCTTCTCTGTGTCTTTTAGCCTAGGGGTGCTGGGTGCCTTGTCATGCTTTATTGGTTCTGTTCATTAAAGTCTCTTCATATGAACCATCTGGATTCAATTCTGTTTCCCGCCAGGACTCTGACTGATGCTAGAGGTTGGGTGACTTGCTGGTTTCTAGTCTCACATGGCTAATACACAACAAAGCCAAGTGGAGGTGATGGTGGATAGGGGGAAGGTATTCTAGAAGGGATAGCAGTGAGAAGGTAGGGACACTTCCTTCTGGCCACCCTTGCTAGTATGTCACCTGTCATGTATGAAAGGCAATGGACTTGAAAGACTGCAGAAGATATTTTAATACTGGGCTCATGGAAACTCTGTGAAAATGAAGTTTATGCCAGGACACTGACTGTCTTGAGGAGTGGACAACAGCATCTCCTAAGGTTCTGAGGATCAACTAGTACTCCCGCTGCTAAGTTACCAGGGAATGCAGAGGTGCTAGAGGCAGGATTGAGCTTGCACAACAGAGCCAGAAGAGATTGGAAAAAACAAGGAGCCTGGAGCATATTTGGGAGTCAGAGCAGAGGCCTTGCTGGGCAGGGCTAGTGAGAGGCAACCACATTGCCTCTGTGGGCTCTGTGATCCTGTATCCACCAGGAGCTGGTATAGTGGCTGGACTGGCACAGGACAGTGGGAGAGTGACTTAATGTCACTGGGCTGGAGATACCAGGCAGCAGCTTGCAGCAACCACTTATGAATACTCACTGCATGTCAGACTGTGAGCTGACTGCCTTCCAAATAGCACTTCATTTTTGATATTTTAACATCCTTGGAATGAAGATTTTATTATCCCCATTTTACAGACAAAGAAACTGAGATCCAGAGGGTGAAGTCACTTGCCCAAGACTACAATAGTCTATAATCCAGGTTGGTGTAACCCGGAGCTCAAGGCAGTAGGAAGAAGTGCTGTTGGACCCTCTGCCCTCCTACCTCTACCTGGGTAGCAGTGGATGTCAGCCCCTGTCACTAAAAGTTGGTTAGGAAACTAATAAAGGGAAACCAAGAAATAACAACAAAGAGGCTCCGGCCAGGAGCAGTGGCTCAGCCTGTAATCCCAGTACTTTGGGAGGCCGAGGCGAGTGGATTGCCTGGGTCCACGGGTTTGAGACAAGCCTGGGCAACTTGGTGAGACCTCATCTCTACAATAAATAAAAAATTAGCTGGGCATGGTAGCATGTGCCTGTAGTTCTGGCTACTTGGAAAGTTGAAGCAGAAGGATCCCCAGAGCCCAGCAGGTTGATGATGGGGTGGCCATGAGTGTGCCACTGCACTCCAGCCTGGGCAACAGAGTGAGACTCCAACTCAAAAAATAAACAAACAAATAAATAAAATTTAAAATAAAATTTTTAAAATATATATCAAAGAAGCACCATCCCTGAGCACACTTCCATGTGTCAGTATGAGCAGAGCACTTTACAGGTGTAAACTTACAACCTTAGAAGGTGAGTACTAGTATTACCTCCATCTGCAGATGAGGCCACTGAAGATCAGAGAGGTGGAGTGACAAAGCTAGGAAAAAGCAGAGCTCAGGCATGACTGCAAAGCCTGGACTATAATCAGGGACAGTAGTCCCCAGCCTCTTTGGCATCATGGACCAGTTTCATGGAAGACAATTTTTCCACGGACTGGGTGGGCAGGGAATGGTTTGGGGATAATTCAAGCTAATAACCATTTACTGTGCACTTTATTTCTCTTATTATTACACTGTAATATATAATGAAATAATTATATAACTCACCATAAAAGAAGAGGTGTGGACAGAAGTGGTAAATAAAATAATGAGTGGGTCACGCATGGACTAAAATAAGTGTGTTGGATTCTGATTAAAGCCTGTCTACCAGATGCAGCAGTACAATTAATTACATCAACTCACTTGCCTCTCACTGATAGAGTTTTGATATAAGACTGCAAGGAATTGATTTATTTTGATCTCTGAGCAGTCAAATTTCACTGCTAACGTTACTCTGTATTTGTTGCTGCTCCCCAGAGCTCACATCATCACCTCAGCTCCACTTCAGATCATCAGGCATTAGATTCTCATAAGGAGCATGCACCCAAGATCCCTCCCATGTGCAATTCACAATAGGGTTTGCACTCCTCTGAGAGTCTAATGCCACTGCTGATCTGACAAAAGGTGGAGCTCAGGCAGTAATGCAAGTCATGGGGAGCAGCTATAAATATAGATGAAGCTTCAGTCACTCACCCACCACTCACCTCCTGCTGTGTGGCCTAGTTCCTAACAGGCCACAGGCCAGTACCAGTCTGTGGCCTGGGGGTTGAGGACCCCTGCACTAGGGAACACTGTGAGTTTGTGTTTCACAAGTATGATGAGCCACCTGTGCCTGGTGGTACCAAATACCCTGAGTATCCCAATAAGGGTCCAGGTGGCCTGGAGAAGATCCCGGGGCATTCTCTACCTTGTGTATGCTCCTAGTTTGGGGCTCTGATTCTGACTCTCTTGGGACTGTCCAGATCCAGGATCTTCTAGTGAGCCTCTCAGCACAGAGGTATCCCACAGGGTCCCAGGAGCCTGGGCAGGTATGTGCAGAAGGGCTGTGAATAACTGAGTCGGTCAGGTTACAAACTCAACTTTGCCCTTTGGCTCCACAGTCAAGACTGCCTCTGGCAGTCACATTTAGGTTATTAGTGGGTTTGCTCCCACTTGAGGTAGTTACCATACCTGCAAGATCTTCCTTGGAAGAGACTAGCCTTGGAGAGCTGCTTCCTGGTTCAATTCTGAGCGACAGCCTGAAAACAAAGATTTTCACAAGATCAGATGGACTCTGGTTTATCACAAGGGATATCAAACATGTCTGTGTTTGAGATTGAAAGACTGAATTGCTGTGAAGAGCATCTACCATCACAAAACCCAGGAATACTGTGAGATCTGCTCCAGATCACAGCCACTTCCCTCTTAGTTCTCCAGGGGATTTCCATGATCAAGAAACAATGGTTCAGAAAGAGTGTAAAAAAGAATGGCCACGGCCCATGGCTTACTGATCACAGATGTGTTCGTTCTCATGGCAAGTCTATAAACTCGGTATGTTTTCTACATAAAGAAACTGAGGAGTGGTGAGGTTAAGTGTCTTCCCCAAATTTGCAGGATTAGCAAGTGGCAGAGCATGGGATCAAACCCAGGACTGTCTGACTCTGAACCAGAGTTTTACATCACTGCACTCCCTCATATCAGATGCTCTCAGAGAGGCACAAGGCAATGGAAATACCATGAGGACTGACACTTCAATGTTTTTTAAAAGCCACCAGTTAAGACCTTCTGAGTGAAATAACAGAGTACATATAAATGCCAGACTCTCCCTCTCCCAACAAGACCAATAAACTATTATAAAAGCTTATGAGTAAAATAATTCACCAGCTGCAACTAAACAAGGAAAGGGGCATAATTTAAAGCCATGATCTTCAAAGACTTGCAGCCAAGGAAAGACAAAGAGTATTCTTAAGTTGGACCAAGAGTTGCAACATGGCATGGCTCCTCTCCTGCCCACTGAGATGTCTCAGTGGATCTGAGTGGAGGTTTGTCCTTATCTTTCCCTCTTCTGAGTAGCAACAGATGCTGGGGAGAAATGAAGAAAATAGGTGGAGAGCATGGTGGATATTCTTATGGAAATGAAGCCTCCATGGGAGCACAATTTGAAACCTCAAGATATCCCTTTCTGGAATTGGATATAGCCCCTCAACCAGGTAAAGGAAAACCCAATATAGGCCTTTTATTGGAGTCTACATATATGAAACAGACTGCTCGCTTGCCATCTCCATGGAGCCTGAGTCTTCCACTCCCCCAGACTATAGCACAGGAGAAAGACAAAAGCCCTTGGACCTCCCAGTCAGCAGGTGGGGAAGACCAACCCCTCTCATACATGGGAGGAGGACCAGATGTCTCCCCCATATCAGAGTAATGGAGTACCCAGACAGAGCCTCTCAAATGGGATTAAGACCAAAAAAATGGCATGGCAATACAGCAAGCATTCTCTTACAAAAGAAAGACGAGCACTGACTACTGGCCCAAGCCAGAAGGCAGCCCCAGGAGCACAGGAAATCTCCCCAAACGCTTTGAGCAGTGGAACAACTTACTAAGAAAATGAGTTTGAAAAAAAAAAACAAACCTGAAAAATGAGATGATAAAACAAAGGAATGAGGTGAAAAAGGAGATTGCAGACCTAGGGGGAACAAATCAAGGACTAAACAAGAGAGCACTGAATGAATACCTAAGCAGAAACACAGCATCCCAGTGACAGCTGATGACCAAGGTGGGGATTGCAGTCATCAGAAAGAAGCTAATGGATGTGAAGGGCAGAGAACATCCAACACAGGGATTCCTGGAATCCCTGGAAAAAGAGAAGCCAAGAAATGGCACAAAAGCAGCCAAGGATAAAAACCAAAAGAATTCCTCTGCAATGAAGAAAGAGGACACCACGGTCCAGGGAAATTAGGTACAGAACCCACTACTATCAGGCATTCCCTTATTAAGCTTTTGAATTTCAAGGAATTATTCACCCACCAGGCAGACAAAACAAGTCCCTTACAGGAGGGAAAAACATCAGATTGGCTCATTCTCTACAGCAACACCCAAAGCCAGAAAGCAACAGCAGCCACGAGGGAAAGAAGCAAAAGCACTCGGCCCAGCAGGGATAGGCCCTCAGAGGCAGGCATTTCCACAAAAGAAACCAGGGAATGGAGGACTTGTGAGCTCTTTTATATTTTTGGTGGAGTAGGGCTGGAGGGACCTACTTCCTGATGAAATTCAGCTAAATAGGAGACTGATTTAAAATAAAGACCCCAGGAATAGAGAAGTTGTAGAGAAACAACAGGTGGTAAAAATGGAATCTGTTTAAAAATACCAAACAGTAGGAATTGTGATTCCTGAACATTATGCTTATGTTACAGACTTGGACTATGTGATCATAATAATACAATGAACAGAAAGTGCAAGCTGGTTTAGTGGAGGTGAAGGAAGGGAAAAACAGCTACTATTCTCATCTTTTATAACCAGAGTCAGCTGACTGCTCACAATAGAAACCTATTAAAATAAAGCTTATTGACTCTGACCTCTTAATGTTTTTCCTGAGCTCTTTTATTAATCTGAGAAGACTTTTAGAAAATAATATCTCTTATGGTAAAGAAATATTTATTTAAAGAGCAGCATTCTTTTTTTTTTTTTTTTTTTTGAGTTGGAGTCTCACTCTGTCATCCAGGCTGGAGGGCAGTGGCAATTTCCCGGCCACCGCAGCCTTGACCTGCTGGGCTCTGGGGATCCTTCCGCCTCAGCCTTCCAAGTAGCTGGAACTACAGGTGCACGCTACTACGCCTGGCTAGTTTTTGATTTATTGTAGAGATGAAGTCTCACCAAGTTGCCCGGGTGAGTCTTGAACCCGCGGGTTCAGGCAATCTATTCACCTCGGCCTCCCAAAGTGCTGGGATTACAGGCTGAGCCACCGAGCCTGGCCAAGAGCAGCATTCTTACATTTTATTTCAGTTCCTTTTTCTGGTTAAATTAAAATAAAATTAAAGTTAATGTTTTTAATTAAAAATAGCAAGTGCAGTATGATTCAATTTTAATAAATTCTATGCATGCATCCATCCATCTATCCTTCTGTATGTATATATTAATTTAGTATGGATATAAATGTTCCAAATTATGTTTACTTAATGCAAATAATCATGCTTTCTAGATAGTGGTGATTTTTCTTAAATAAAATAACATAGACTAAAGGTTGAGGGGAAAAAAACACTGGTTGGGCCTCTTGGCATAATACATGGAACAGCCAAGCCGGTGCATCTTTGGGAGTGAGGAGCTCATCCCAGGTGTAAGCTGGGTTGTGGAGCTTGAGCTCCTATGCAGAATCATAGGCTCTGCTCATCTCTTGCCACCCAGAGCCAGGACCTCCCTGGGAAGGGACTCCCTGGATGGTCTGGGGGCTGAGGGTGAGAATGCAGGCTTTCTCCTTGGGTTTGTTCACTTTGACCATAACACAGGGCCTTTATAAAACCCAGGCTGACTTATTTAGCATCAAGTGCTGGATTTTAATGTCCTTCAGAATGGAAGGATTAATTACTCATGATCTGCAGCTTGTCCAAGGATTATCTCATGGTTAGAAGTATTTATAGACCCTTTTTCCCCTTAAAACATATTAGTACTAATGAAAAACTACTGTCTCGTTAATTGTATTACTGGCGCATGAATGGAAAATATTATCCCAGAACCTAAGCAGGAATAATTTCATATTCCAGGGCACTCTTTTCAGGAACAGCAAATGTTTTATAAAGGAAATGAGCTTAATTTGTGGCAAACATAGTTTTGATGGTAATCTCTAACCTTCATCTATTGTTGTTACTGTTATGTAATAAATCACAATTTCATATTAAATTTTATTTTAACAAATTAACATACAATAACACCTATAGGCATTATATCTATGTTCCCAAAGATCATTAAAACCACATAGGGAGCTTTGAAAAAAATACAAGTTTTCAGGCCCCACCCCAGACATGTGGATGGTTACAGTTTACTAGGTGACTGATTCACAGCCAGGGCTGAGAATCACTGCTGTAGATCTGGCCATTTCCCTTGGGATCTTTCCTGGTGAATGAATCATGGGTAACCTGGGGGGTTTTGTGTGATAACAGTTCTCTATAGTTTTCACTAACATAGATGAAGACCATGTAATTAGGTAATAAAATTCACAGACATAAAACTGGAAGACATTTTTAAAAATATCATGGATAGCAAGATTCAAAGGAATGATGGTATACTGGAAGCAACCAGTAAGACAAGATATTTAAAAATACAGATGCTCCTCAACTTACAATTGGGTTATGTCCTGATGAACTAATTGTAAGTTGAAAATATTATTAGTCAAAAATGCATTTAATACACCTAACCTACAAAACATCATAGCTTAGCCTACCTTACCTTAAATATGCTCAGAAATTTACACTGCCTACAGTTGGCAAAATCATCTAACACAAAGTCTATTTTATAATAAGTGTTGAATATCTTATGTCATTTATTAAATACTGTATTGAAAGTGAAAAATAATAGTTATATGGGTACTGAAAGTACAATTTCTACTTTCACTTCACTGTAAAGTTGAAAACCCAGCCCAGTAAGCTGCAACATTCTAAGTCAGGGAACATCTGTCCTGGTGAAGATGACACTTAGGTGGTAAATGATCAATTACAAGATGGCTGTGGCTTGCCATAACATCAGGTCATATGAATAAATATGAATGCTCTTATTTGACCTCAAGCTGAAAATGAGCCAAGAGCACTTCCAAACAATATGGTAGACAGAGTTGACAGGAAAAATCCTCCTTTTCCCTTCAAATACATAGAAATGTTGGATAAACTCCCAGATGCCACAAATGAAGAAAGAACTGAACACCAGAGTAGGGTAAGTGGAAGGTAAGACCAAAGGGCCCATGGGGGTGTTATGAGAACTGGGTCTACTCCACTGGGGCTACACAGGGAGTGGGGGGGACCAACCACTGCCAGACAGCAAGAGTCATCCAGAAAGATGACAGCCACAGGGAACTGTCACATCTGTGAAACTCTTGGAGGCCCCTGGAGAACCCTGCTGGCCTGGAGATATGACTAGAAAGTTGCCCTTCCATCTAGCACTGTGAGTGGGGGAGTCACTCAGGAGAACTAGAGCACTAAGCCTGCGCCATTCACAGCTGTGGAGTCCAAGTTCACATTACCCAAGCCATATGGGAAAGCTACACACGATCCTCGTGGGGCTGGGACAGAAGAGGGTGCAAAAGCTGTTCAGACAGCACCACTGCAAGGTCTGTGAGGTCAGAGATCACATTGCATATGTGTGCTCAAGTGTGCTGGGGCATGGGTGCTACTGCAGTGTACTTCAGTAAGCTATGAAGGTGGCTACCTTGGTCTCAACAAAGGCCAGGCCACCTGCAGGGACCTGAGCACGGAGGTCAACAGCAGGAATGGAGAAGGGGGTGACTGACATAGGAGTAGGTAGGAACTTACTTGTAGTTGTCATCCTCCACAAACTTCTGAAGCTCTTCAATGTAGCGTACAGACTTCAGGTACTTCTGAACATGGGGTAGGGTGGTAAGGTGATCTGTAAAAGGTAGACAAAATCCACAAGCCTCAGACTTTTCTCATCTCTGGACATCACTGATTTTAGATGCTCCTTGTATACTGAGACCCATTCACTTCTCCAATAGTTGCTAATGCTCTCTAGGGCCTGGCCCTGTGTTGGTCATTGGATACAGAGGGGTAATCAGGTCTGGGTTGTGCCCTTGAGGACTGTCCCCTAGATGGTTGGGCCACAGATACTACACTTTAAGGCCTCCACAGTTCTTTGGCCAGGAAGGAGGAGCTGAGGTCAGCAGCTAAAGAAAAACGGCTCTCTGGCCTCCAGAACAGACCAGAGCCATTTTTTGTGCCCTAAAACAGGGTTCCACTGGGGTAACTGGACAAGCCTCCCATGCCTGCCCACCCCCTATATGATATGAATGCAAGAATGAATTAACAGACTCCAACCAATCTGGTGTGGAGGCCCAACCCAGATGCTAGCTCATGACTGAAGTTGCCACATCCTGGGAAGAAAGGGAGGGGCCCAGATGTCTGAGCACCTGTCTGTGCCAGGTGATTTATAGGCATCATCTACTGGAACCTTCATACCTGCCACATGTGGATGAGACACTATCCCATTACACAGATGAAGAAACTGTGGCAACTTGAAATGGTCATATCACTGAGAAGTGGCAGAGTTGGGTTTTTAACCCAGGCAACCTAAAGCCTCTGCCACATTGCACTGCCTCTCTCTCCTTGGAGTGATTGGTGTCAGCAGCTCTCTGAAGACCTTCATGTTCACTACACTCCTGAGAGGTCCACAGGTGGGACAGAAAAAGCTAAAAAAAAAAGGTAGAGGGGCCTGGCTCAGTATCTCAGCCTGTAATCCCAGCACTTTGGGAGGCCGAAGTGTGTGGACTGCCTGAGCCCATGAGTTCAAGACCAACCCGGGTAACTTGGCGAGACCTCATCTCTACAATAAATAAATTTTTAAAAATTAGCTGGATATGGTAGTGTGCACCCGTAGTTCTGGCTACTTGGAAGGCTGAGGTGGAAGGATGGCCAGAGCCCAGCAGGTTGACGCTGGGGTGGCAGTGAGTATGCCATCGCGTTCCAGCCTGAGTAAAAGATGAGACTCCAACTCAAAAAACAAAAAAAAAGAAAGGTGGAGGGAATGGAGGAAGTTGTGAAGAGGAGCAGAAAAGAAGGTGGGCAGGGCTCTCATTTTCTGGGTAGGGGCTATGGGAGGACCTGATAGCTCTGCCCCTTAATTGCAAGATTCTGAATGGGTCATTTTGTTTCTCTGAAGCCTCAGTGTCCTTGTCTCTGAAATAAGGATAATGACACTGGCTTTACAAAGCTGATGCTGGGCATGACTCAGATGAAGATGAACAGTAGTAAGAGTGAGCATTTGCTGTATTCCACTGAAATGTTGGGGACTGTGCTAGGGCTCTGCATGAATCATGTCCCCATTTTCACACATGAGAAAACCTTGGGGATGAGAATGTGACTATTCAAGAGAAAGAGCTGAAATCTGAACCCAAGTCTGTCTGACCCCAGATCCCTTGTGTGTGACTGCTCTTCTAGCCAGTGGGACAATAGGCGTCAATTTATTTGGGAAAGGAAAGGGCCTGGAACAGGCAAGGCCTGCACTGGGAACACAAGTGCTTCCCTGCCCCTCCTGTCAGAAGAAAGCTGACCCAGAAGTGTGGGGTCCCCCTAACCTGCCCTGGGTTTCTTGAGGTAAGACGGGCTTTTGTCTCAGTTAACCCACCCTGCATGAACCCATGCTGGTTTCCCCTGACCTTCCCAAATGGAGACTACTGATTTTCTCACACCCTGTGTACAGCAGGCAGGGTTAGTTTCTTTCTTGTTCCCCTTTAGTGCTTCCAGACTTTTATTCCTCTACCCTCTTATGAAAACCCTTCTCCCTAAAGGCCTGTTCCTAGAACTCCATCACCCATTCCCCTTTTCACTGCTAATTCTCCTGACTGGCTGCCTGGTCACCTGGGCTCATTCATGCAGGTCTTGGACACCTGGCTCACAGTCGAGGTTCACACCCCAAGTCTGTCGTCTTCTTGGGTGAAATAAATCTTCACATGGATGGCCCATCAGCATTCTCACTTCTTAGTTCCTAAACATTATCTACAACAACCTTCGCCATCCATCTCAGACATCTACCATCAGGTCACACTTTGGATGTGTCCATGTGCAATAGCAACTGACCAGTTTTTTACCATGTCATTTCCCTTCTCCTTCTAGGCCCACAACTAGAATTTATTTCCTCACCACCTCCTTCAGTAGAAGTGATGCATACCACTTGCAAGTCTGGTCCATACAATCCAGCCTTGTATGATTCTCTATCTGTGCCTGATGCAAAGTCCAGTGAAGGACACTGAGGCCATGGGAGATGGCAGAGCCATAGAAAAAAGGAGACTGGCCCCTGAATCTGCTTGGAGCAGAGCTGCCCAGAATTCATTTATTATTCTTCATGAATAAAAGAATGACCTGGGAGGCCAGACAAACCTGGGCTCTATCATGTACTACTAGATGTGTGGTCACAGACAAGTGACTAAATTGTTTTTAGCTCCATTTCCTTATGTGTAATAGTAACATCTAGTTTGTACAGTCTTTGAAGATCACACTTATGTGTAAAGGATATAGTACATGGCTGATGCTCAAGATATATATATATATTTTTTTTTGAGTTGGAGTCTTACTCCATCACCCAGGCTAGAGTGCAGTGACACACTCACGGTCACCCCAGCGTACAGTTGCTTGGCACCAGCGATCCTTCCACCTCAGCCTTCCTAGTAGCCAGAACTACAGGCGCATGCTACCATGCCCAGCTAATTTTTGATTTATTGTAGAGACTAGGTCTCACCAAGCTTCCCACGCTGGTCTTGGATCCGCGGGCTCAGGCAATCCATTCACCTTGGCCTCCCAAAGTGCTGAGATTACAGGCTGAGCCGCTTAGCCACCGAGTCCAGCCAATGCTCAAGATATTAAAATGAAGACCTTTGTGGGAACTGTCTGGTTTCTAGAGCTTTCTTACTGATTGGTTTCTTACTGTCTGGTTTCTAGAGCTTTCTTACTGATAAGGGTGTGGAACCAAATTTCAACAAGGCAAGATTTCACATTCTAACAACCAAGGGTACTAACCATAGCTGCAGGAAACTTGCAAATCAGCAATTATTCGGAGAATATTGTTCATCTGGTTGGATCTTTGTTCATTTTCCATGATGCTGCCTGAGGCAGGATACGCGGAATCAATATAGATTAAATCCAGAAGATAGATCCCTAAAATTAAAGAAGACATTTAATGATGGTAGGAGCTCACCGGTAGTCAGAATAGCACTGCTCTGCTAGAAAGTATAATGGGTGACTTATGTAAAACAGATAATATTTGGACTTTAATTTCAATCCTGACTACTAATTTTTTTCACACAGATTTCTCAACTATAAATCAAACACCTGAGCAATAACCAAAATGAATGCCAGCAAGATTTTAGCATTTCTAGTTCATGTATTCTCCAGCAACAAGACTCTTTAACTGTAACCCAACTGGAAAACAATAGGGCATGAAAGGAATGAATTATTGTGTTTCTCACCAAACACTGAAGTCTAATAGGTCTAAGTTGTCATGTCCAGGAGAACACCCATTTGGGCTGAATTCAGGTTTTTCTTTATTCACTTAACTGTTTCCTTGTCTATCTGTTCACACACACACACACGCATGTGCGTGCGCACACACACATCATAAATTAGCTAAGAAACAAAAGAAGAAATTTCAAAAGCAACAGTTCTTTGTACAAAGAACTAAGGCTAGACAGAGAATTTGGACAAAGGTGCTTAATAAAAAAATTAGATGTGCTACAGAAACATGTCTATGCCAGGCCATTGATAAGTTGGGGGGAATTCAGGACAAGTCACCTGTCTAGGGAAGGGGGACTGGTTATGCAGTGTGAGACGCTACACAGCTCTCAAATGACTGACTACAAGTAAGGCTGCACTCTAGATCACCTGGGGATATGCATGAACTATGGACTGCATGTCCTTCCAGCCATCTTCCATGAGCACTGCCACTGTGCCCACCCTATGTGTGGTGAGGTTGAGCAGGAGAAGGGATATAAGGCAGAATTCAAGGTAAACAACACTAAGCAAAACAAAGAGGAGTGACTGGTATCAATAAAAAGCACAGTTGATTGAGAATATCTAATGGTTACAAATTTCTATGGATGAAGCAACAACACATTAAATTATACAAAGCAAAAAACTGTTAGAAATGATAAGCGAGTTCAACAAAGCCACAACCATAGAGGGAGGCTTTAGCACGTCTCTTCCCAAATTTATATGAGTGTATACATCATACATATACACACATATACATATATATGTGTATAAGAATGTATGATACAGTATTATAGTAACAATTAATGAGCTTATAATTATATAAATGAAAATATAGCTCTTTTTCAAAACACATGGAACACTTACAAAAATGATTATATACTAGACTATAAAGAAAAGCTCAGTAAGTCCTAAAAAGTAAGTGCCATATTATCCACATTCACTGACCTTACTATTATATATCTAGGATTTAACAACAAATATAGGGGCCAGGCACAGTGACTCATCCTATAATCCCAGCTCTTTGGGAGGCCGAGGTGGGAGGATTGCTTGAGGCCAGGACTTCAAGACAATCCTGGGCAACATAGCAAGATCTTGTCTCTACAAAAAATTTTTTAAATTAGCTGGTCATAGTGGCACATGCTTATAGTTCCAGCTACTCAGGAGGCTGAAGTGTAAGGATCGCCTGGACCCGGGAGGTTAAGGCTGCAGTAAGCCATGATCATGTCACTGCATTCCAGCCTGAGTGATAGAGTGAGAATCACCCCCAAAGGAAAAATTCTAACCATTTCAAAACAAACACATACTCATAAGTAACTCTTAGACAAAATAAAAAATAGGTTTGAAGACAATCACAAGGAGAACTCAATGTATCAAAACTTGTGGGTTCTGGCCAAAGTGATAATCTAAGGGAAACTTAGAGCCTTAAAAGTTTACTATTAAACAACTGAAATTATTACATACATTGGAATTAATGTGGTTAATTACATAAAAGTTGTGGAAGGTTTTGCATGGATGGACAAACACTGCGCTAAGAGTTATTCATTCGTTATCCTATTTATCATTCTAACAACCCATTTTATGGTGGAAGTAAAGGAAACTCAGGGAGAATGTGTAACTTGCTCAAGGTCACAGTGGTAACAATGGAGACAGGAGTCAAACTCAAGCCTCCCCCTCCAGAGTACTCACTTCCTGCCATCACAGTGAACCACTGGTGCTGGATACCATGAGTCATAAGTCTGCTTTTAAAATAGCTGCACATTGTTACGGGAAACCGTTAAATCACAGAAACATATGCTAGTACTTCTCATAGGAGCCATTTCCACTTCCTTTCTTTCTGGCAATACCACGCTTCCAAAATTTTAATAATTGGAAATAATTTCCCTTGTAGAGAAGCTCCAAGGTGGGCTTGAATCCACAAATTTATTCTGTCTCTTCACCTTATTTTCTCCCCTCCCCTTTTAAAAGTGTAACTCAGTTACTTTCCTGAGGATACAGCAACAGCAATTCTGAAAATCTCATTTCTGCTTCAACCACAACAAAAAGCATCCTCCAGTGCTGAGCAGGGGGTGAGGGATGTGGGACACAAAGCAGCTTTATTCCAGATGCAATGTGCACTCTAGCCCAACTGACTCAGAGTGGCAGGGTGAAAGCTCAGGGGGCTGGGGGAGGAGGAAACTGCTGCTCCCTGGAGATGGACTCCAAGATAGGAACTTCTCTCCTGTCTCATGGTATCCTGCCACCACCCCAGGAAGTAGCAAGAGAAAACTAAAGTTCAGAGAGATTATGAAACCTTCCCAAGGGTCTCACAGCAAGTGTGCTGGAATTAGAACCTGGGTCTTCCAAGCTGCAGCACCAATGTTTTCACCTACTGGTCATCAGAAACTCACAGAGAGTCGCCTTTTCTCAAATTACACCCTCAGCATTCTATGCTGCCCTATGAGAAAGGGTGCAGGATGCTGGCCTTCCTCTCGGGTCCCTGGAGGAAGATTCCTGAGTAATGCTTTACAAACGGAGGCCTGGAGAAGTTCACTGTAGAAGAGGCCAGCACCTATTTCCATAAACCACCCCCCAACTCCTACTTACACCCTAGGGGTTTGGGGGCCAGACTACCTCATGACAGAATAAATTCTATTGTCAGAGTGTTTGTAACTCTCCTCTGCAAAACTTGCAGATGCTGATGCTTGTCTATTCCTCAAGACCCAAGAGTATGAGACAAGGCCACAATGTGCTAAGGATTAGGTAAATCCCCCCCAAAGGATGCCTCTTGGCCCCAGTGGCCTGGGGAGACCTTGAGCCTCAACAATACTTAAACAGAACCTCCATATAAATAGCCTTTCACTCCCACAACAAACACTGCAACAAAAGCAGCAAGTCATCTACAGTTAGGACTGCCCAAATCCACAGAAATCTTTTTGGTATCATATTGGTCCACAACACTCTCCAAGAGGGCTCACAACTCTGTTGTGCTGTCTTCCCTGTCCATCTATCACCTGCTACTCCCCACCTCCCTCTTGCTCATTGTGACCAATCTGTCCCAGGTCCCATAGTCAATGCCCCACCCAGGCTTGAGGGCCCTTCCAGTTCTGCCATATGACAGACAACTGTGGCATAAGTGAGAGAATGTAAGCCTCAGAGCCAGGAGACTTAGAATCCTGGCTCTGCCACTTACTAGTTGAGTGGCCTCAGACAGGACTTTTTACTTCTCTGGGCCTCAATTTTCATGACTGTGAACTGAAGTAATGACAGCGACCTAACGGAATTTCCCAGCCCAGGATCTAGATCACTGAAGTACCCAGGAAGCTCAGTTGACTCCAAGCCTGACCCAGTGGCAAGGCTCCACTTGGAGCAGCAAGAGTATGCCTATAGGAGGAATAAGCCCAGCTGGGTTTGCTGTAACTGTGGATGGCACTCAGATGCTGACCATATAATGGCCACCCCTCAGCAGAGTGCTGGGAGCTGCCATCTGGATTGGGACAGCACAACTAGACATCTCAGCTCCTGCCATCCGGATTGGGACACACAGCTAGACATCTAAGCTCCTATTCCACAGAGTTACTGCAGCAGATGAAACTGTGCTGTTGGCCTTGTGAATATAGACCATAATTGGACCAGCCACTGGCCCTGGCTGCCTTAAGGCTGAGCAATGCCAGGGCTTGGGCTAGGCTGTAAGGTGCAGACCCTTTGAGGGAAACAACTCCAACAGTAACAGCCATTGTCTGCTCCAAAAAAGGTGGGCATTGCCTGTACCACACCTTCGCAGTGCTGCCGCCCAGTAGGTACTCTCATTTCCCACATTTTATATATAGAAAACTGAAACTTAGTGAGGAAAAATGACAGGGTCAATATCACATAGCTTACAAGTGTGATCTTACTCAGGATTTGGATTTAGGCCTCACTCCACAGATCAGGCCAGAGAACAGTGCTAGAGCTAGGGACTGGAAATCATTGGCTGGCACAAGAATGAGGGTCCCAGCCACAGAGTTAGGAGTGTGAGGATCCCTGCTGTAGCCTTTCTCTCTCTGCCATCCCCCTACCATGACACTACATGTCTGTGTCTGACTGTTTGCTGGACCTCCTCTGAGACAGATAGCTCCCAGACCATGCTTGGGCTCTGCTCCCTCCTTCTATGCCCCACAGAGGGCCTGGTATCACTGCTATGGCTGCCATATGAGGCCAACCAGACTACTGTGGCGAGGCAGAGACCCCAGGACCAGAAGTGAGCAGCCCTCAGCTCACCCTACTGCAGAAATCTTCCACACTAGGCTGGCCTTAACACAAGGGGGCAGGTGGCCAAACCTGCTTCCTGACAGTGAATTTAGGCTCCCCACCAGAGGCGTCCACAGGACACTTTGGCCCACAGGAGGTGTGCCAGGCTGACAAAGGAGGTGCTCTCCTGAACAGACACTGTCTCTGAAGCTGAGGGACACCCATGCTCAATGGCACAGAGCCTACTTGAAGCTGGGAGCTCACAGCCTTCCCAAGCCAAAGCCCGCGGCTGGCACCAAGGCTCCCACAGGCCCAGAGACTCACTGCTCTCTTGTTCTCCCATCGCCACCCTGTCTCACTTCCATCCCGAGTCTGGTTTTGGTTTTTCTCACACAGCTATCTTTTTAATAAGGAAAATTCTGCTGTGTTGAGGGGAAAAAACCCTCCACAGCATAAAAATA